AAAAAGTACAGAGCTTATCAGAACCGAAGGGAAATCTAAATTAAATCTCACCGCAGAAGTAGAGCTCAGCCTTTGCATATCTCTCTTGTCATTCTCAAACATTACAGGTACACATTGGGAAGTCCAAAAAAAAAAAAAAGCAAGAGGTTTCGGATAGAATGGCAATTAGAACCTACCAAGCCATTTCAATGCTCTAAACTTGTACTGTATTTTTACGACCATGCGTCACACCGTATTAAGAGGCGTAGTCCAATTACCCCATGGGGATAAATAAAGTTTCCTGAATCTGAATCTGAATCTGAATAGTGTCAGTTAACGGCTGCTATTTCTGTCTTGAACACATCCAAAAGACACATCGTATTATTGGGCGCTGGCATGGTAAAATGTACGCTAGCTTAAAAAATATGCGAGCATGCAAGCACGCACGCTAGCATATGTTTTTAAACAAGGCAGCGGGGGCAAAACTGAGTTCGTTTGCACTTTATTGAACAAAATCTTAAAATATTGCGGTGTCTCCAAATTGTACGAGGGCTGGAAGTAATAATCTCTTTTTTTCCCCATCCTACAATGCCACCAAACGTCTACCGCCACTTTCTTGTCATCTACAGCCACGAGATTCCCATTGAGCTAACAAACATTCGGTTCAACTTGAAAATCGGATTCTTTTTTTCCTGTTGAATGATTTTAATGCTTCCTTTACGGTAGATGGCGGAGCAAAAACTGATGATGAAGGCTGGCCGCGGCGTTTAATGTTATCATGAAAAAACTTTCAATCCGGTTTGGACAAGTAGCATTCCCTTTGTCCCAGTCCACGGCTAGAGACCGGCACACACACAAACTGACAGACGTTTGCCTCACATCCATGTATGCCGTTGCTGAATTTACATCTCAATGCCAACTTTTGTTGGTAAATTGAAGGGTCCTCGGGGATTTCTCGCATTCTGTTCAGAGCGAGGCCTGCCAATGGGAACAAAGTCACACTTGAGCAAAAGCTGCGCCGGCCTCAATTAGGACCAAAGGAATTGGCTCCGTGGCGTTGCAGCACACAAGCTGGTTATTTCAACTTCACTTCCATCTTGCTTGTTTGTTACAAGCAAAATCTCAAATGGAGGAGAGCCGAACTCGTGTTTCGAGGCGTCGGGTTTGACTTTAGGAATGCGTCGGTCTTGAATGTTAACGTTCGAGCGCACTCCATCTGCGACCGAAGGTGCTTCGGCTTTGTTCCTTCCCGACTCGACGCTCGGAGCCTCGTTCCTGTCCTCACCTCTTTTCTCTTTTTCTCCGCGTCTCTTTCGCTCTCAAAATGCGTTCGCGAGATCATTTTGGACCCTGCCTTTCTCATACCGTATCACACACCAAGCTGATTAGATTGAAAAGTGTGTTTGTGCCCAGACTTGTTTTCCTTCCAGTTTGTAATAAGCATCCATTTCCTCCCGCCGCGTGGTTTTCTCATATTCTAGGTTTCAATCTGTCTCAGGAGGTTGCAGGATGGACCGATCCAGACTTTATGCCTCTCAACACCCCGTGTGTTTTATTGATAGGGGAGTCGAGTACATTAACGCCTCGGCAAAGTCTTTGGAAGATTTATCAAGCGCTCTCTGCCTCGCTTGAGTTGTGAAATTTAAGAGTGCAGATGTGCGTGTTATTGGGCGGCGCGACATCCCGATGCGGTGTGCCTATCCACCCTTGGCGCACGGTCGTCCCATCGCGTCGGCGCCGTGACACGGCCGGCGCTGTTCTCACGACATTTATAATTCAGCTTTATCAATAAAAGATGTGCGGCATTAAGTTTTGATCCGGCGGCGCTGCGCTGCCGTCCTCTCGAGCCTCTTACAAGCGCAGGACCGACGAGCACAACTTTGCTTCCCCGTGCCAACTTACTGGCATCACTTTGCATTAGCGTACCCTTTACGTGATCCCTGTTCCCCGCGCATGCTTTTAGGAGCTTCTTCCCTATGATATCATATTCTACTTTAGCGCGAAGACTTTAAGGAGTCTTGCCGGGAGGTACTTATGTTGTCTTCTGTCTGAATGGAAATCAAATGTGTTCTTTTGAACCGAGTCGGCCGGTAACCTAGCGCCGAGGCGCTACCATAGAACAGAAAGGCGAGCGCTGAAATAACACGGCTTCCATGTTGACAGCCAAGGCGCCGCGGCTTTGTTTGGACATTTTCACTTTCATGCAGACAGATCGTAAAGGAAGATAAAAAGAGAGCGCGGGAAAGCAAACGGAAGAGAAAGCGCAACGTACGTGTCAGTTCGAGCTGATAAAAGCCTGAAAATGCAATTAGTCCTTTGGTATCAGATGGCTCCCTTGGGAGAAATGTCAGGGAATATCCAATAGCTCAATCATTTACATACTCTGCTATTGATAGAACTCTGTGTAACGTTAAGCTCAACGTCTTTGTGGGACTATATTTGGCACCCTTTTTTTTTTTTTCGTCATTGTTTATGATGGCTTTGTCCACAACAGCTCTGAAGATCTCTCAAAGGGAAGCGCTGTACATTCCACACCACAAATGGTGAAAAGTGGGCCCGGTGGCATTGGCTCTTTTTCATTTGAGCACACTTAATCCAGTCGTGCTTGGCCCTCAATGCCCTTGACGTCATTTGTGGTCACAGGCTATTCGCTGCTGGTTGAGGACAGAGCCGCTCGCCTGCCCGCTAGGGGAGTTTCTCTCTGTTTGCCAAGTCGTAGCTGCTGTTTCTTCCCATGCCAAAAAGTAAAAGGAATAAAGGCCTAGAGAACATATCGGAAAGCAGTCACGTGGTCTTGCTGTCTGCTGATCCGTGGTCATTGTGTTCATTTCGAATGAACCAAAGGTAGATGCCGTAAATAGCATCCATTCGTGTATTTTCTTAGCCGCATATCCCATCGAACTCTTGGGCAGGCGGTGTGCCTGTGGGCCACCTGTTTTTGGAATGGCCCAGGGAAAGCACAGGGAGAGAGAGGCGGGCAATGCAACTAGGTCACCTTGTTGCCTTGACGGAAAACATGATGGCTGTGGCTCATCTGTCAGGGCTTTTGAAGTGGAGGGTCACAACAGGAAATGGCAACTTGCGGGAACGCCGCTAGTCCTGACGACAGTCACGGCACCATCCAGTCAGACAGCCAACCCTGCAAAAATGGGCCTCAGTGTGCGGGGGCGTTTTTTTGTTGGGTTTTTTTTTTTTTGTTTCTAATTGTTGAATGTGTGCGCGTACGAGGATGTCACATGTCACAATTATTCCTGAATCAAGGAACATGCTCGTGGTGGTTGTTGAGCTCCATGAAGCCCCCCGCACAAAATGGATTCTACTCACACCAGCAGAGACGCTTTGCTGTACTCCTTGAAATTAAATCTAACAAGTGTCTGCAACTCCCGCGCGTGTCTCCATATGCTGCTTTTGCAGCCGTGTGCATCTGTGGATGGTTTAAAAAAAAGTTTTTTCCATCTGTACGTGGAAGCATCAACTCTCGCTTTTTTTACCAAATTATTCTGTGTCAACGGAGCCCAAGACAGACATTGTCCGTGTCCTTCGATCGTCCGGATAATTCACGGCTTAAAAAGGCCCCAGTCGAAAGGGCTGTAAAATCAGGGGGTCAGCCACCCTTTCGAATGAATGAGTTGATCAATCAGGGACTGGGCTTGGTTCAGCGTGCCAAGACATGCTTAACTCGACACATTTGACTTGACGTTTGGAAGTGCCCTTTTCTTTTGCAGCATGACTGTAGCCAACAAAGGCCTGATTGGAGAAGAATACAAGTCCTGACCTCAGCCCAGCTTCATAGTCGTATTCATTTTTGGTGCTTTACATGTCCCGATACTTTTGTCCATATGTTTTATCATGCATGTCGGATGGGGTGAACGGCATGCCTTGTCTCGAGTCAATTATAATCTCCGCTATATTCCCATCATGATGCTGTAAAGGAACCGCAAGACTCCCGCTGGACCGAGTGTTGTTATTGTCTTCATCTGCTGACAAGAATTGTTCTGGCCACATCTTCCTGGTGGTTACACACGCACACGTGCGCGCAAACACACACACACACACACACACGCACGCGCGCGCGCTCCTCCTTCTGACAGCCGAGCATCTCTCAGTGGACATGCTTCAGCTGCCTGCAAACTGTTTATGATTCTGGTCGCTGGGGTGTCTGTCTGCTTTGATTTCGGTCATTAGATAAACACATCGTTGCAGCATCTTAGTTCCGCTCGCCAGCTCAATAGACGGTCTTGGCTGTTGCGTTTGATATTTTGCTGTGTTTAGTCTTTGGGGTTTCCACATCCAATCGTAGCGGTCGTGTTATTTAAGGACGATGTTTTAACAGGCGCTCGCTGCAGAGTGATGCTTTTCATCGGCAGGTGAGTAATGGCCGCACGTTATCATCCCGAAAATTGTTCGCCTCTTGTGAACCTTTTGTTCATCGTACGCCGGGATGTCGTGTCAGGTGTTTTGGAAATAAATAAACGCTCTATTACGATTTGTGAGCAGAAGCTTTTTCCGAATACTGCTGCATTTGTTTCTGGAGTTCATATCATGGAGCCAGCAGTGAGACGTGTACTGTAATCAATAGTTGTCGTGCCGAAGGGAGTCGGCTAGGTGGGATGACAAAATAGAGATCCAAGTGATTATTATTGAAATTGGATTCCTTTTGTGATTGTTCCTTCTGATATTCATGCTACTCGACTGACCATCCTCAGTTCAGCCCCGCCCACGCCCTCACCCTCGCCGGGCGGTGAGGGCCAAGCTAGCCCCCGGCCCGGGCCCATTAGCCCCCTCCTTGCAGCCATGTGTTCATCACCAAAGATCATGACACCAAGCCAATGACACCACTCAAATGCATCATTAATGATTGATTAATGAGCTGAGCTCAGCTCCAACGAGTGCGTTTCTATGGAAGAGCAGCCTGGAATGGCTGCGCAAGGCTCGCTTCCGCTCGCTACGTCTGTGTGTGAGAGAGTGCGACCGCGAGTGCGTTTGGCGTATCCATTCTCAATCTGGGCCTTGTCTCACAGGTCGAGGGAGGTCACTGAGCCCAAGGCGGCCGTGTGAAACAAGGCACCGAGGCGGAAGGGACCAGTGTGGCCGGCGCGATGGCAGAGCTGAGGCTTTCCGTCCCTCTTCCGCTTCTCCTCTTCCTCCTCGTGCTGCTTCTTCCGTTGGCGCAGGGCTCTGCTTATCTGTCCGGATATCGCAGCAGGTCTCGCCTCCAGCGCGACCGACAAATCCGCAACATTCGTCCGAATATCATTCTCGTCCTCACGGATGACCAGGATATGGAGCTGGGTAAGACTATTCTTCTATTTCTGCGTCCGTCTACTCTGCAGTCATCCATCTGGCCGCGTCCGTCTCCCACGCGCATGATTATTCCGTCCACGACGAGAAAAGTTGGCCCGGTGCGGCCTCTTGGCGCTGCGACAAGCGGCTTAGTCAAAGTCACGCGCCCCCCTCGCCTCCCTCTCCGTCGCTGGCATGATATACGGGCCGCCTATGCCTGCCATTGTCAAGGTGCCAAACGCTCGCCTTCTCCCTACCCACTTCACTTCTTGAGTCGGTGTTGCGCTGGAGTGGCTGCATAATAGCCTCGGTGACATCCTTTGTCCTCCGCTGATGGCCGCTGAGAAGAGTCTCATTGAAAAGCAGGAATTTATGGTCGGGGCATCTGTTTCCACAAACAATTACCATCAGCTCGAAAAGCTTTTACGACGCAGGAGTCCAAACGGGTCACACTTCAGCAAAAAGATTTATTCCGGCGTCCCCGCACACGCCTTCTCCTCTCCGCCATGAGATGTCCTGGCTCTCGCGCTCACATGAAGCATGTTTCTACTTTCCGCCCTGCGCCGCACTTTTCAGTTTGTCGCCTGCCTGCGTTTCTTTCAGCGCTAGCGACTCTCATTCCCTCCCCCGCCGTTTTTCCCCCAGGCTCAATGCAGGCCATGAACAAAACTCGTCACATCATGGAGAAGGGGGGAACGCATTTCTCCAATGCCTTCTCGACCACGCCCATGTGCTGCCCGTCCCGCTCCTCCCTCTTGACCGGGAAGTACGTCCACAACCACCACACCTACACCAACAACGAGAACTGCTCCTCACCGTCATGGCAGGCCCACCACGAACCGCACACCTTCGCCGTGCACCTCAACAACTCCGGCTACAGGACGGGTAAAGGCGGCAATGTCGTAGCAGATTCGAAATACTGCGTCTCGTTTGCCGCGAATCCCATGTGCTCTTTCTGCTTTATCGCTTAGCTTTTTTTGGAAAGTATCTCAATGAATATAACGGCTCCTATGTGCCCCCCGGCTGGAGGGAGTGGGTGGCCCTGGTGAAGAACTCGCGCTTCTACAACTACACCCTCTGCCGGAATGGAATTCGAGAGAAACACAACAGTGACTATTCGAAGGTATGCATACGACTCCGATTGCACCCGATCGCAAAAGAATTTTTCTTTCTGAAAGTTCCGGACAACATTCTACACACGACAGTCTCCAGAAACACTCACATCCTCACATCGTCACTCCGCCCGGACGCAGTGCGATCGTCAGTTTTCATACCCCATCCTGAGCGTTCCGCACTCGATCCCGATTGGTGAGCCTTGCGGGCGAGAGTCAATAAAATGAATCGAATCCCAGCGCGCAGCCCGCAACACATAAAGGTCAACTATTGAGCAACCTTTACGGGAGCCGTTCTGCAAAACGATGGAAGAATGTCAGCATGCTTCAAAGTGACAAAGTCCCGATGCAGCCGGGATCACTTGTTAACTCGCGATTGAACTATATTACATAGCGCACTTCTCTTGAGTAGTCACTGGAGGTTCATCCGTGGGTTCGAGTCTCACTCGGTGGCGATGCGAATGCGGGTACGAGCGCGTGCGCCCCGCGATGCACTGGTGTCCAGTCCCAAGATTCCCGCGCCCCTAAACGGGTCAGCGGTGCAGAAGGTGGCTGCAGCCGCATCAATTCAGGCTTCTCCTTATCGTGTCGTGCAAGCGCAGCATGAGATCTTTGACAACCACGTCAATGGTTTTGCGAAACCGTTGTGTGTTTTCTCTACAGGATTACCTGACGGATGTCATCACCAACGACAGCGTCAACTACTTCCGACTGTCCAAGCGGATGTATCCCAACCGTCCCGTCATGATGGTTCTGAGTCATGTCGCCCCTCACGGCCCGGAGGACTCTGCCCCGCAGTACAGCACCGCTTTCCCCAACGCGTCGCAGCACATGTGAGAACACGCGCGGCCGTCACGGCGCACACAGGAAAGACGCTCTGGTGTAACTTCTTGCCGATCAAGCTTTTTCCCGGCCGGACAAATCCTGCACATGCTGCTTGTGCCGATACATGGCATTGCCTCATGGATCTTCACTGACCAGCGCAGAAATGCGTGCTAAACCTTTCGACGCGCGCGGCTAGACAGACTAGCTCATCACTCATCTTCATATTCAAGCTTCTTTTCATTTCACCAGTAATTGAAGAGCAAATTGAATCATCACATATGGATGTTATCTTCCTCCGCTCGCAGGATGTCGTTGGCAGCCGAGCCTCTTCTGAGTGCAGCCGCTGCATCGCTCCGTTTTGAAAATGTTTTTTTTTTTTTTTTTTGGCTCACGTGTTGTTCCGACTGCCGGCGCCGCTGTAATGAGCTCTGCTAATTTGTTTACGTTTTGTCAGCAATGATTAAGGAGAGACAGGAACGTTGTCAGTGTCAGGCATGGCTCCGAGACGCCTACGGAGCGTCCGAGCCGTTTGTCTTTTCGAAGCGCCGCGCTCCTGACTGGTGGACCAGTGCCGCTGGCTAACAGGAGCTCTGCTACTGGCCCCCCGAGACCAATCTCAGACCAGTAATTAGGCTGCGCTCCGCGGCACCTCCCTATAACGTCCTCTCGGCGAATCTCCTCCCTCCAGCCCAGCATCATGAACCTGTGCCATGCAGGCTTTCGCCACTGAATATTTGTACATTTGCCCCCAGTGCCTTCATACGAACGTTTAATTGCACTTTCTCCATACATGCACCTCCCTTGAGTCCTTTTTTAGTATGCGTCTTGTGCGGCTCTTTATCTCTCTGCGTCTCCCACCTGTTCTCGAGTAACACATGAGGAGAGGGAGCGGCAATGATTTCCTGTTGTCCTCTGCTGATCAACCGTCTCACCTTGGCACCTAGTTCGCACCACCTGACGTTTGCTCCTGTGAATTAAAGCAGAAGACATTCGCCTTTATTTGGTTGTATCGATCCCATTGAACAGATTCAATTCATTTGCTTCTTGAATTGCCTTGATTTAGGATTGTTTATTTCCAAATAATGAAGCCTCCATGCGCTTCGTAGAGGATATTGATCAAAGTGTGCTCCCCCATCGATTGCGCTGCTTTGCACTTGACGTGTTTGGCAGAGCCTCCGGTTTAGCATTGCATGAACATCTTTCCTTCTACTTTGCAAAGAAAAAGGTCAGCAGAAATCGACAAAGGTCAATACGATGCGAATGCGGCGAGAACTCGCCATGCTGTGGAGCGGAACGTGCGGTCAAACGCCGACCGTGCCCATTTATCTCCATGGAAAATAGTGGCACTTCAATGACTCTTGTGCAGGTCTCGCTTGTGTATTAAACGGAAAAAAAAAAACCTCACATCACGCATTTAAAGGAAGCGGAGAAGGAGGTCTTGCTGAAGGCCAGCTAGCGTCGTACAACCGTGATGATTTTGAGACAAAGGTTTAGAGGGAGAGAGCCGACATTGCGGCCGGACATTGCAAGTTGCTGTTGCCATGGTAGCATCGGCATCCATCGATGGCAGGATATTTTTTTGCTGTATGTTCATCCAACTCGCCACCGAAGCTTTCGATGCTCCCCGACCTGTCGTTTTCCTCCATTTAAAAAAAAATCTTTTTCAAAAAAAAAAAAAATTTTTTTTTTTTAAATGGAAGGAGTCTTGAATTTAGGAAATCCCACTGGCATCGCGTTTCCAGCCCAGGATCGTGCACTGTGAAATGCGACAGAAAACACCGCTCCGTTTTGCTGCTACTTCTCCGAGAAAGAAGATTTCTTTCCAGTAAAACAACCTCGTCTGTTCTCCTTGCAGAACTCCAAGCTACAACTACGCTCCGAACCCGGACAAGCACTGGATCCTGCGCTACACCGGGCCCATGAGGCCCGTGCACATGCAGTTCACTAACATGCTGCAACGCAGGAGGATGCAGACCCTGCTGTCTGTGGATGACAGCATGGAGAAGGTGGGTGGGTAAATCGCACGTCGTCTCAGATGCAGAGGAGGAGGAACGCGTGCCTGTCCCAGAGTCGCGAGTTTCAGAGAGCGAGCTGTGCCGGTGCGAATGGGGACTCCCACCCCCATGTATTCGCCCACCGCTGCTCTCGTCATGCCGTTCGATTCCCTTTTCCCCTTTCGAGTCGGACCGGAAACCATTTTCCCGCGCTCATTTATCCAGTGGCTGTTCCACCTCCCTTAGATGCACAACATGTTGGTGGAGACGGGCGAGCTGGACAACACCTACATCATCTACACGTCCGATCACGGCTACCATATTGGCCAATTTGGGCTGGTGAAGGGCAAATCCATGCCTTACGAGTTTGATATCCGCGTTCCCTTCTATGTGCGGGGGCCCAATGTGGAGCAAGGTGCCACGTGAGTGGAACAATTTGATTGAGTGGCACTTCATGTTGAGGTCTTGGCGAACCCAAATCAAGCCGATGCTTCGCCTTTCTCGCCGCGCAGTAAGCCCCACATGGTCCTGAATATTGACCTGGCGCCGACTCTGCTGGACATCGCCGGCGTTGAGATCCCTGCAGAAATGGATGGAAAGTCGATCCTGAAGCTGCTTGACACTGACAAACCGGTGAACAGGTGATTGCTGATTTTTGTATGTGTGTGTGCGTGTGTGTGTGTGTATTAATCCATTTGTCCTCCGTCTTTCACAGGTTCCATTTAAACAGGAAAGGCAAAATGTGGAGAGATTCCTTCCTTGTGGAGAGAGGGTACGTCTTACGGCCACTTGGGACTTTTCAAGCACACGTAACCTGGAGGCATTGTCTTCTGCCGACAACAGACTCTTGGTTGACCCGACTTCCTGCTCCGTTTCCTTCCCCGTTCTGGCAGGAAGCCTCTCCACAAGAGGGCCGATGGGAAGGAAATGGCTCAGGAGGAGAACTTCCTGCCCAAATACCAGCGAGTCAGGGAGCTGTGCCAGAAGGCAGAGTACCAGACTTCCTGTCAACAGCCGGGACAGGTACCCAACGCACATGTACTCGTCACGCGCGAATCTAGCCGACCAAATACTGGGAGGTAGGAGTCGTTGCACCGCTGGGATGGGAGGATGAAAGCCTTGGTGTGCGTGCGGGTAAACACGGGCCTTTCGTCGATTTGCTTTGATAACGAGTACTGAATCGGGTTTTGCCGTCTTAAATTGACACGATTCTCTACGCTGTTTGTTAGCATGACGTATCCCGCCGTTTGCATGTAGAAGTGGCAGTGTGTGGAGGACCCTTCCGGCAAGCTGAGGCTGTATAAGTGCAAGGGCATGGCCAGTCTGTACGCCCCGCCCGTGCAGGCTCTGACGGCCAGCCGCGCTCCCCAGCTGTCGCTTTCCTCCACTGCGGACGGCTGCGCCTGCGCCAACGTGGGCTTCAAAACAGCCGTCCTGAGGCGGAAGAAACTGCTCGCCAAGAAGAGTAAGCTTGCTTTTTATTTTTTTAATCTGAAGTTTCTTTTCTTCTGTGTATATATTCAAAGTGAAAACTTGGAATGTCCCTGCAGTGGCTTACAAGTCGAACTCCAACTACAATTAGGTGGCTTTGAAAAAAACGAGGATGTGCCAATACTGCCATCAAGTGGTCCTTGGTTAATATCTCAGCTGCCATGTCATATTGGAGGAACATTTTCCATAATCTTTTTATTTCGTTTTATTTGACAGGGAGAAAAAGAAAAACATCTGTCTCAATTTTATTTCTTCATTGTAATCAAAGCTGTTTTTTTCGTCCTTTCCAGAGATGAAATCCAGCAAGTCTGCCTCGAGGAAGCGTTGGGCCCGCTCGGTGTCCTTTGAGCTGGATGGAGATATGTATGCTGTGGACCTGGGAGAGTCCTACCAGAACAGCACGTGGACTTTGGGCAGAAGCGGAGGAGCGGCGCCTGAGGAGCATGATGACGAGTTCAGTGGCAGGCCCACCGCTGACAGCGGCGTGCCACCTGCCGCTCTCAAGGTCACATACAGGTTCGTCGTATGCGCATCATCCGTGCTTGTCGGCGCTTCATGTTATCTTGATGTCGGCGTGTCGGGCAGACCTCGTTCGCCTCAGTTGGACACCTTTGACCTTTCCTCTTGACAGATGCTCCATTCTCATGAATGACACCGTCAAATGTGACGGTGGGCTCTACAAGTCCCTGCAAGCGTGGAAAGACCATAAAATGCACATTGAGCATGAGGTACGGTGGGCATCGTTCTTGTATTCTTACATGCAAGGACAACACGCTTGACCTGACCTAACTTGGCTGCGCTTGTGTTCTTGGGCTCGTTAGATTGAAACCTTGCAGACCAAGATAAAGAACCTGCGTGAGGTCAAAGGGCACCTCAAACAGGTGCGACCGGAGGAATGTCAGTGTAACACTCCCAGGTGAGCCTTAGTCCCTGTGTTGTGCACAGTGGGGCCAATGCAAAAAAAAGAACACAATGTAAAAGTTAGCAAACATTGTGCATTTTATTGAGTGAAATGTGTACCCTTTTGGCAAACACGGCAGCGGCTGTTTTTTTTTTTGTTTTGTTTTTTTTGTGTGTGTTTTTTTCTCGGAGTGACCCAGTTCACATTCAGCTCCGAAACTCTCTAAATCCTCCATGTTTCCTGGCTGCCGCTGGGGAAAGTCAAAGCCTCAATTTCCTCCACAGGTTTTCCCTTGATCGGGTTTAAGGTCTGGAGATTGGCAAAGGGCCACCACTCCATGTCTTGAACCTACTGCGCCGCTTAGTCCAAATGTTTGTGCTGACAATTTACAGCCTTGTCTTTACAGCTATCTGCTCAAGAATAAAGGCAGCTTTGTGTTGGGCAGCGGACGCGTGCATTCGCTCAGGTATGAGTTATGGCCTTCGACCGGGCATACAATCATGGGCCGTGGGTGTCATGGGTCTTTTCGTGTTTTTTCTCCTCTCATCAGGATGCCAAAGCAGAAGACGCAGTGGCTGCAGAAGGAGCAGAAACGCAGGAAGAAACTCCGCAAATTCCTGAAAAGGCTCCGGAACAACGACACCTGCAGCATGCCGGGCCTCACTTGCTTCACCCACGACAATCACCACTGGCAGACTGCCCCCTACTGGACAAGTAAGAGATTGCACGCAACTTTGAACACAATCCCCACACGCATTTGCCACCACTCTTACTGCTTCTTTTTTTTATTAGACTCTCTTGATAAGGGCAGAAATCTTTCCTGAAGTCATGACTTATTACCCTGTCAGTGTAGGTTTAGTGGTGGACTGTGAACCGGTGACGTGGCCAACAATATAGCAGAGTTCTGTCGTAAAGCGAGACCATTTGCATCAAAGAGCTCCGTTGAAGTGGGTTGGGCAGTTTCAGGTCAACAAAAACAGTGCTTTGTTGACAATTTCGGAGCAACTTGGTGTCAGGGTGCTATGTTGAAGTGAGCTGAAGAGTTTCATCGCGAGGAGAAAAAAAAACATCACAATTATTTGCCGCCATCTTGTGGCACGTTTGGGACCAGTTGATGACCTTGAGGGACCTTTTGGTGATTTGTGGCGGGGCTGAGTTCCTGTCGCCAGCCGTTCCGTTTTCCTCTACAGAAGACAAATGAGGGCATGTCCCTTCTGATTTGGTGTTTGTTGGAAAGTTGGCCCGTGTTCAGCAACGGAAGATCCCAGAACAATTGCGCTGACTTCCGTTTTCCATCTCTCTACGCCCTCCTGCTTCAGTGGGGCCATTCTGCGCCTGCACCAGCGCCAACAACAATACCTACTGGTGCCTGAGGACCATCAATGACACGCACAACTTCCTGTTCTGTGAGTTTGCCACCGGTTTCCTGGAGTATTTTGACATCAACACGGACCCGTACCAGGTACGACTTATTCCTCCGGTCGCACATTCCGTGTCCAAGGACAGCAGAACCGTTTGGCCTCTGTTCCTGTTCTGAATCAAGCTGAGCTGAGTTTGTGTTTGAATGATTCCGGCAGCTGATGAATGCCGTCAGCACCCTGGACCGCGACGCTTTGAATTCGATGCATCAGCAGCTCATGGAATTACGGGCGTGCAAGGGACACAAGCAGTGCAACCCTGAAAAGGGTGAGCCGGCGTACGAGGCCCCGAGGCCACACGTGATGGATCGTAGCGCCTCCGCTCGCGTCAGCCTGAGACTGATGTTCCTCCCATTTCTTTTCAGGAGGCAAAGAGCGAAACTACTTTAGTGAATACAGGTAGGTTTTTTTTTCCCCACTTTCCTTTCTTCTGATTACTTTTGCAAACGCCGCAGATGGAATTCCGGTTACAATAAGAACTGGCGGAGGTTATGGCCTCCCTAGTGTGTCTTTGCTTGTTTTCCTGCTCAAATTACTGTGACTGAAGTTCCAACTGACATGACTCTTGAACAAAGCCTTTTTAACCATGCACAAGCTGAAAAATGCAAGACTTACGCTTTGCTCCTCTTGTAATGAAGTCTAATTTCTCATTTCTGATGTTTGTGTGTGTCCCTGTGTGCATGCGCGCGCGTGTGTCTGTGTGTGTGTGTGTGTGTGTGTGTGTGTGTGTGTGTTTATACCTGTGTGTTTGTCTACATGCGTTTGCTCTGCACGTTGTTGTGCTGTGCATGCTTCAGGCCAGTTTATCGTCGAAAGAGACCAAAAGTGAAGAAACCGTCCTCCAAATCGCTGTGAGTTTGTCGTAAGCCATCTGTCTTCTTATAGCGCGCCGAGCTCCAATAGCAAGCCGTCCTGAGCGTTTATTCCATTTCCTGCCAGTGCCCTCAATTGCCCATTTACGAGTATGCACGTGTGCGCGCACACACACACACACACACACACACACACACACACACACACACACACACACACACACACACACACACAAGTTGAACGAATGTCTTCCTAGTGATGTCTTCTTTCTCCTCCACTCTCCTGCGTGACATTTTTGAGCACTAGTAAAATGACAACAGACAAAACTGCACTAGTTGACAACCGTGTCCTACTAGTGGTGTTATAAAATTGTACGAGTGAACATCAAGAGCAAGTTAACATCCAAGGCCACAAAGAAGACTTTCACGTCCACTGGAAGGCACGAGTGGATACAATGTCACTCCTAAGACAGTCATTCTACTAGTGCCCCCCTAGTTGTTCTGATAGTGTGCTGATTTTTTTTTTTTTTTTTTTTTGAGTGATGGCAGCGATTGTACTACGATACCGATTAGTGCGTGCACTAGCAGTATGTCACTAAAATGCTCAGAAAGCTCCTCCCTCCATCCACATTTTTAGTTCGGTCACATGACCCACAGCAAGCTCTCTTGACTGCATCTTTACCTGCATTGCAAACATCTCAACCCCCCCCCCCCTTCCTTCCGTCACCTGGCACT